CATACATATTATAATTATTTCTGAAAATCAATTCTACCACCCCTACCCCCCCCCACACACACATACACACACACACACACACACACACACACACATACCATAATTACAGGCTTACGTGCACTCTTACGCGGCAGTAGTGTGTCATCCCATGGAAAAAAGAAGTGTTTACCATACTTTACCCCTTGCAAACCGTTTCTTTAAAAGTACTTGCATGGTTCCATAACAATTTGTCTTCAATACTCTTAGGTAAAAAAAATGACAGCCTGTTAGCTCTTTGGGTTGTTGTTTTTTGGGAGGGGGCGGGGTGTTTTGTTTTGTTTTGTTTTTTTCCTCATTAGCGTTCACAGTGTGTCTCAGTCGCAATTGATTTTTCCTCACACAGTGTCAGGCAGAAAACTACTTTTCAAAGATAATTCTGCAGCCGGGATGCAGCCCTTTCGGTTAATAAAAATAAAAGCAAAGCGACCCCCAGAATTTCCCCGGCACACCCCTCCCACAAAACAGAACTAAACCAAAAAGCAGCCATACTTTTTCCGGACATTTTGAATTTTGGTCTTTCATCTTTTCGGGCCTCCCCTGGCTCTTGTTCTCACACGTGAAAACCTTGGAGATATCTTTAGAAATACGTCGAGCTACATTATAATTGCATTCAGCTGCGATACTCAGACAGTGACGTGTTCTACTTTGCGCGAACGCAACATAGCGTCAGGGTGAGCGTTTTTGGTTGGGGTGGGATGGCATACTGGGGTTCACTCAGTGTAACGACTGCTACGGAACTCATATAGGAAAAAAAACTTGTTCTTTAGGGACGATTTTCGCTAAGCTGTGTTTTATGACTACGGCTAATCATTAGACTATTTTCCCCACTCAGTCTGGCATGTTCAGTAATAAAACGATTGTCTATACGGGTGGATGTGGGGAATGTTAGTCAGAACATTCGTAGTAACTGACGTAGTCTACTGTTTTTAGAAGTTTTGTTAACTGCCGACAAGATAATAAAAGTACAGCATTAACGAGAACAGGTATATTCACATAACCCAGGCAATCATTCTTACCTACGGGTTTATAATTCGTCCTTATTTTAATAGTATGATCAAGAATTTTTTTTAAAGGGGTCAGTCAAAAACATTGACAATATTTGTTCAGTATATAAGCCAACGGCAATTCAAAAACCTGCTTATAACATGACAACGAAGCTGAAAGATCAGAAGATGAATATTTGACACACTTTTTAAAACAGTCCTGCTCTAATTTATTAACGCTGTATTCACCGAGGTCAGCTAGTACATCCGTTTGAAATCTCTCGAATACTTCAAAGATAACTATTCCTAGCGCATTGTAGCACACACCAGTTGGTACTATTACTATGCTACACGCTTCCCAATAGTTGTTTACCGAATCGATGACGGATTTAGTACTGCAATTTTAGGTCAGCGTAAATAGTTATGGTCAAAAGTAAGTTGAGGGCCAAGAATCGGGACTCATTTTACAGAAAATGAATGGCACCGATATGGATACGGAAACGGTTAAAATATACCGAAAGAAAACGACAAAAAAACATCCCGCTGTGCCAGAAGCTAGTTTGATCCAGTTTAGTTGCTTGGTTCGGGGATTCCTGCTGAACGTATGGAAACTCTCTGCCTGTTTCCACTCTTTGTACCTCTAACGAGTTGAGTGGCCGTCTCTAGTCAGTTGTCCGGTGATGACAAGGGCTCAGAAAGAGCCAGTCTGAACATACATACCTGATTCTGACCACCTGTCTTGGTGTTGACGCAGGAGAGATCTGAGAAGAGGGCTAAGATGAACATTCTCGAAACACAAGACATTCCGATGGTACGACTAGTCTTTCATAGTAGTTATGTACAGATGAGGACGATTGTGTTTCGTTTTGGGTTGTGGTTTTTTTCCAGAAAGTTATACTCTGTTGTTTGTTGTTTTTTTCCTGA